AGTGTATACGTGCGACATAGAGTATACAAGTAGTATAAATGAGACATGGTATGTATATGTGGCATAGTGTATACGTGCGACATAGAGTATACATGTAGTATAAATGAGACATGGTATGTATATGTGGCATAATGGATACGTGCGACATAGAGTATACATGTACATGTAGTATAAATGAGACATGGTATGTATATGTGGCATAGTGTATACGTGTGACATAGAGTATACATGTAGTATAAATGAGCCATGGTATGTATATGTGGCATAGTGTATACGTGTGACATAGAGTATACATGTATTATAAATGAGACATGGTATGTAAGTGTGGCATAGTGTATACGTGCGACATAGAGTATACATGTAGTATAAATGAGACATGGTATGTATATGTGGCATAGTGTATACGTGCGACATAGAGTATACATGAAGTATAAATGAGACATGGTATGTATATGTGGCATAGTGTATACGTGCGACATAGAGTATACATGTAGTATAAATGAGACATGGTATGTATTTGTGGCATAGTGTATACGTGCGACATAGAGTATACATGTAGTATAAATGAGACATGGTATGTATATGTGGCATAGTGTATACGTGCGACATAGAGTATACATGTAGTATAAATGAGACATGGTATGTATATGTGGCATAGTGTATACGTGCGACATAGAGTATACATGAAGTATAAATGAGACATGGTATGTATATGTGGCATAGTGTATACGTGCGACATAGAGTATACATGTAGTATAAATGAGACATGGTATGTATATGTGGCATAGTGTATACGTGCGACATAGAGTATACATGCAGTATAAATGAGACATGGTATGTATATGTGGCATAGTGTATACGTGCGACATAGAGTATACATGTAGTATAAATGAGACATGGTATGTATACGTGGCATAGTGTATACGTGCGACATAGAGTATACATGTAGTATAAATGAGACATGGTATGTATACGTCGCATAGTGTATACGTGCGACATAGCGTATACATGTAGTATAAATGAGACATGGTATGTATATGTGGCATAGTGTATACGTGCGACATAGAGTATACATGTACATGTAGTATAAATGAGACATGGTATGTATATGTGGCATAGTGTATACGTGCGACATAGAGTATACATGTAGTATAAATGAGACATGGTATGTATATGTGGCATAGTGTATACGTGCGACATAGAGTATACATGTAGTATAAATGAGCCATGGAATGTATATGTGACATGGCAAAGCATATGCATGTGTAATTGGTTATACACGTGTCACATACTTAAGCACAGCACAGAGAGCATACGTGACATTCAATCTGGTAATCGTAACATTGCATGATGAACATAATGTAACAGATGCCATTTATTGAACTTCCCCGTTTTGTTATTGGGCAACTGTTATATGCTTTGAACCTTGAGATCACGCTCATTATGGAAACTCCCAAAATTCCCTTTCAAGTGATATTAGTATTAGTCACTGAAGATATTGACGAAAATGAACAGAATTGATATCGAATTTCTCAATATCTTAATTCCAACCGATCGGATGATTAATCCTCCTGTCATCATATAAGAATCATGGTACATTCAAGTCCAAAAAAGGAATCACCAACTATGCCCAATGCAGATATAATATATCAAACTGATAATGTTTTCTAAATATAACTAACTATTGGATACGTATTTCCATTTCTTCACATCTAATTGCATTCACATAACCATGACTGTGATGCCCTTAATGTCTATTTGGTAGCAAAGCTTGGGGAAACGTCAAATACGAGGAACAGCAGGCATCCCGAGTGTTACTTAAGGTTGTACTGGTATCCTGGCAGGGAGCCATGCAATTGGAACGAAGTTGTGAATCTATATATACCGTGCACATACCCGCTGGTATTACATACACGCTACTTATAGCGTCACACGCTCACGCCATGGGGGACTTGTGCTGATTACTGTGCTGCCATCCGCATACAGCCACAGTTTATAATCCCCTGCCATGAAGACACATTTTCTCAAAAGCTATCAAATTTAGAGAAATGAAACTTTACATGATTATGTTACTAGTCCGGATCTCAAAGGAGTCCGAACATTAGTGTCGTACATTCATTTTTGTACCGAGTTATGACCCTTGCGCAATGCTTTTCATCTTTGTACATACTGAGTGAAATGGGGACGGGTTTTCACAGAAACTACTGAAGTTGCAGGAATGAAGGTTTGCATGCTTATCTAAGAAAAACTTGTCAAGACTTGTCAAGAAAGTGTCTGCATTGGGGACAAGTATTTTTAGAAACAACTGAAGTTAACTTATTTAAGAGATAGTTTTCAAGACAGGATTATTTTTTTCCAGAGAAAGGGCATTTTGTGTGCATTAACTTTACGTTTAATCATTTTTTCTGATGACATGAAGCGGCCTAAGTGCCTACATCTTCTAAGGCTTTAAAGGACTCTTTGTGTAGTTTTTATTTACTACTATATGAAGAAACAATATCTAATATGACCCATGGCGGGGTATAGTGATAACGCTGTCTTCTTGTTATTATTATGATAGAGAGGATAATACTAATTGACACGAGTACTGGCAATGTTAGCCTTGTGAAAACACATTGGCCCAAAACATTGGTATGATAATGTATAGTTCCTCTGTGTATTGTGTCGTTGTCTGGAATCTCTAATATACAAGTACTTGTTTCTATAGGTAAACTCACACAGGGTGTAATTCATTAATTGGTATATAAATATACGGGACAACTATGTGTGATATGTTGTTTTCATGGCAATATTAGTATAGTGAAAGACTATTCAATCATCATATCATATTGTATTTCCAACTGATACTCATCACAGTGGTAGATACAGGCTGGAATATTATGTGAATAATAGTTTATTCTCATTCAAGAAAATAAGTTTGTGCAATGCCGTAATATGGGAAGAAGAATACATGCTACCCTCTCCCTCTATAACTGTCCAAGAACAAGGCGATTGCTTTTTCATGGAGAACTAGTAAATCGTATATCACTTCATTCAACACTGGTGGGAATGCATTTTCCCACTCCATAAACATTTTATGGAGTCAAATGTAATTTGATTTTCCTTTTTCGAAGTTTCAGTCAACTTAGAACTTAGAATTCCATCACCGATTAACCCCCATCCCCCACCCCCCACTCGAAAAAGAGCTCGAGTCTTATGGGTTAAACATGCATCACGTACAATTCACACTGCTAAGAATGATTGTACAGGCGCACGAACAAATAAAGTTAAAAACAGGCTGTACGTTAAAATATAGATTAGACCCACGCACGCACGCACGCACAGATGGTGGGTATGATGTCATCAGTGACAAGTCTCTCTACTATTCATGACATTTGTTTTCTTTCTTCATTTTTTATACATGGATGCCATACCTCGTCTACATGTATATACAACTGTATCTTGATAAACACAGATGTAGTCAATATGAACAAAACTGTGCCCGGGAAATGTACGGGATGTATCTGTCACTGGTTCTATATTCAATAGTAAAGAACGTGTGAAAACATAATCAGCCGTGATGCTGGGTGCCCAATGCCACCAACGGTCACGCCCACAATCGAAAACTTGGATATTTATTTGAGGATTCTTAAATTGAAATTGACTTAAACATTTACTACCTGTTCTCTAACATTAAATAAACCATCAGCTAATTTTAATTCGACAGTTTTTGTCATATACCATATTCTTTAACAACTGCATACTGAAAACACTGATATATGATATCAAATTTTCTTCTTCATCCTTACTAACCTATGCGTACAAGGTTTCTGTTTAACAAAGCTGCATTAGCAATTTTTCTTTACGGGCATATGAATGCGTCGTTGGACAGATAACTACAAATATATTGCCAGCCAAACTACATTTACCCACCTGGCAAAAGGTTCAGCACTATAATGTCTGAAGAAGAGCGCTGTATGCAAATACCACGATAGAGTAAGCGAGTAAGAGAGACTTTTTGTCGCGTTCATCAAATTTGGCAGTAGAAGCGCGGCAGGAAACCTCAAGAATCTGTGTCAAACAATGAGCTAGCGAACCCTCATGGAATTAGCAGATCCGGATACAGATTGCTGTGGTGACTACTCAACACTTTTGTGCACTTAGGTTTTGCTACGGTATTTTCTTAATACTGATTTAAAGTAATTTCATCAGTATATTCAACTCCTATCTGTCATAAAAAGAGAAAACAAAATTTGAACAGACAAATGTGAAAACCAACATCCATAAAGCATTGCAATTGGCAAACATGTTCCTATAGGTCATGCATGACAGTGGCTTTAAACATTTCGGACCCCAGAAATACATTCCAGGAAAAATATTTTAGGACATTTTTGAATGACAAGTCATTTCGCTTTTAGATTATATTTTGGAACTAAATTGCCCTGACAAGAATAGCGTTTATTTTTTTGTTCATTTTGATAAAACTGCAAGCAATTTTTTGCAGCTATCATCCAACTGACATAGTTGGGTGATGGCATAGAGCAACGGAAATGTTCCAGCTCTCTAATATGAATTTATGCATTTGTACTAAAACAGAACATATATACATCTCATTGTCAATAACATTATACAATAGATACTAAGCTCAGTCAGTGCCTTCATGGAGCTAAACACAACCTATTGTTGTATATGACCTCCTGGCAAATTCTGGGTTAGAGTCCTCCTATTATGCGATGCATGTAATATGTTACCCCGTACACGTAGTATGTTCCGAAGTCTGTTTCCACTTACAAGTGTGTGTTATGTCAAGGATGAAAACATTTCCCGGGCCATATAGTATGTCTCAACGATTTTGTGTGAAACCAAGTTCCCTAGGCCGTGATGAGACTACAGATATTCTCAAGGACAAATGTGCACATGAGAATATTTTCCACATAAGCTTCTGTGAGGAATTGTGTAGGCAAATAAAATATCAAAAACATTGATACCGAAGACGCCAAAGAAACACGTTAATGCATGAGTGTATATTGATATATTTTATTCCAGGTTCTGAACTCGGGTTCAAGGATACTGGATAATGTATATACAAACACAACACAGTTCCTAATGAATAAGACATGATTTGATCGTTGATGTTTCACGCTCTCGTATAAACCATTTATATATTTTCTACTTATAAATGTTTAGTTCCCATTTGAGATGATTCATTGAGTGATGTTCTGTGAATCATTGGTCACGAACGCTCGACCAAGAGGTTGTCCTACCTCGATCAGGGGCTACAGGCCTGACATCATCATGTCAGTGTTTCTAATGGCTCCGTTGGAGGGATTAACTGTTTGTCTTTATAAAGAAGCAGACCTCGCGTACCTGAGCACACCGATGTTTGTTATTTTTTTACAATGGCACAGAAGAAGGTATAACGTATAGAATATCAGTATTATCGGTGCTGGACCATCTTTACGAGTCTGGCTAGACGACGTTTCATTTTCTGTACATGGCAGATTTAAAGAATATGCAGCTTGGACGGGTCAGGAAGGCCCGGCAATGCCGCCCTAACTATGTGGTGCTTGGTCGGAAATAGCAGCATCACGGATTATGCAGACCGCCCGGACCCGTCTAACAATCAAAGTGTTTTTTTGTCTAGTAGTAGCTTGAAGTCCCCGTTTTCCGTCCTGACCATGTGTTTGTCATTTGGTATAAGACCATGGAAGCGTATGCTGTTGCGTCTGTGCAACAAAGCCCAGCATTACGGCCATGGACGCGTATATATCAGCATAATGGAATATACAGCTCCACCGGTCCTTGGGAATCTCGTAGCAAATCACTGACCGAGGTGACAAACCGTATATTTGGTCTCGCTGTAGATATGCATGTTGTCAAGTCTATGCTTTCAGAGCGCTTGGATCAGATCCAGAGCCTTCCTACCCACGTTTACAGGTTTGAGGGCTTGAGGTCACGAATGATGAATCACTAGAGTATGGCTCCGCCTCAAGTACGTGATTACAGGACCTTCATTATCACGCAGTGGTGGGGAGGTAACTGCAGATCTGGATGTTTATATATCATAGGACATGCTGGTCACAGTGCGACTCTTGCTTCTCATCTTCTCCAGGGCCCCTTCGGCAATGTTGGCTCTGGTATCACTGTCCTCCAACTCCTGCTGGGTTTTGCGGTATCGTCCCATGTTCACTGCCGCAATCTCCTCCTGCAAAATAAACAAGTTGATACATATCCACTTTATCATCCCAAACTGGCTTCAAGCGATATCTCCATCGCTACAATGTAATTGCACCACAATGCTTTTGCAGACCAATGTGACATCATGGCTACCATGAGGCCACAATCAAATGACATCACTAATTTCTCTGCCACTGAGGTTGAAAAGCTCTAAAGACTTTATTTTACACCCAAGACACTGGTTATTATTGTTCACAACTGAAACGTTGGAAAAATATTTTAGATGATAAATAGAGGGATAAGATTCTCTATGTATCGTGATAGACTACGTTTCATAGGACAGACTTTACATTTATCTCACCTAAACTCAACTTTTATACATTCTTCATGCACCCATAAACATCATGTAAATCAGTTAACGTGGAATTGTCCTAAAGCCACATGTAAACCTATTTTACCTCCTTCGTAATAGTTAAAAACCTATGTGTTGCTATCTTATGGGAATCAATTGTCATCACTGATGGCCGTGGTTGTTTATAAAAAAACACAGCATATAAGATTGATCAGAAGACAACAAAGGAAACAGCTCAGGCGTGCCACACTTCTTAACTTGTCATATCAAACGAAACTGTAAGGCATTAATAGAAAGACATAAACTTCACTATTTTGAATAACACAATAATTGTCAGCTTTGAGTAAATTTGATCATACACAAAATAGTCAGTAAAGGATTATGAGAAAAACTAACAAGATACGAGGAATTACGGGTTGTCGTTACCATGGGAACTGATGTCAAAGATGCACAGTGAGCCAAGCTACAGAAGGATCTATGACATTAATGAAAAGTTTAACTTGAATTTCGCGTTTCGAATTGGTTATTCTTTCTTTCCCATTATCAAATATACTGCAAACGTGCCGTGAGATCCCATCCCTTACCACCTTCAAAATTTCTAGCGAAATGAATCCCTACGCAAAAGAGACCTTTTCACAACACATCGGATAGTGTAAAATAGCTCGCTGTTACCAGTAGCATTTAGTATATTAATAACCTGCAAGACGTTAAAAACGTGCCGTGGCCTTTAATTTATTAACTTTAGCAAGTGCAAGTTAACAATTGTATAAGTCAACGTCGGCCAGGGCGAGAACGTCAGTTGTAAGTGGGTCACACGTGTTGACCTAACGTTACAGTAGCTAACTGAGCCATTTCTAACGTTTTTAAACATCAATGAGTTTATACCAGACATGCATACAACCACTGGATTATGAAACGATGTATACGAACTATTTTGTAGTTGTAGTTATTTATTTGGAATCAGAATCCAGAATTATGCGACGTCTCATTCCATATCATCACGTGGATGATAGACTGAATGAACAAACGAATGAAACATAGTTCTGGCGGCCAAGGAAAAGTCGAGTTATTTATAGAAAAACTGTAAAGATCATAACAGAACATTTAATACCCTCTGTCCAGTTTCCCTTATGGGTAAGACATGTTTATACTGAACTGATACGGCTAATATATGAGATTGTATCTTTGTCAGTCGGCAAAATCGTGACCAAAAAGTATTCAACCTAAGAGATCAAAATTCCACATATGAAATATTCAAGTCCAGTGGAGGATATTAAAGTCCCAATGAGGAGATATCAAAATCTCATGGAGGAGATATCAAAGCCCCCTGAGGAGATATTAAAGTCTCACAGGGGAGATATTAAAGTCCAACGGACGGGATATTATAGTCAAACGGAGGAGATATTAAAAATACTTGGGCACCGGTACAACAGTGGTCTATTCTGTCTCGATTAGCTATTTGAGCATCATAACTTACAGCCTCCTCAACCTGTGTCTTCATAGATCTGATTTTAGCGTTCTGTTTGTCCAGGACATCCTGCATTCTCTCCTGGTTCTTCCTCTCCTCTTCGATCTGGAAGGCAAGCTCCTTCATGCGACGCTCGTGGTGTCTGGAGTTCTTGGTGGTCTCGGCGTGACGTTGTTGTTCCTTCTCCAGGTCGGTCTCCACGGTGCGTACCTGATGCAGTTAAAACATTATGACCATACCATACCATACCAAAACATAATTTAACCATTACTACATCACACCACGCCACGCCACGCCACGCCACGCCACGCCACGCCACGCCACGACACGACACGACTCGCCACGCCACGCCACGCCACGCCACGCCACGCCACGCCACGCCACGCCACGCCACAACACAACACAACACAACACACTAAAATAACCATACCATACCACACCATACCATTATATATCATACCATACCAAAACATAATATAACCATGACTACACCACACCACACCACACCACACCACACCACACCACACCACACCACACCACACCACACCACACCACACCACACCACACCACACTAATCATACCATAACATAACATAGCATAACCATTATTGGACTAGACTAGACAAATATCCAGGTGTATCTCTTGTACGTTTGGCGAAACCAATGTCTACATATTTAACAGTTTTACTATTACTAGGTGATTGCACATTTCTCAACCACATGGCGGTAGGAGCCAGTGTCAGACCTGCACACAAGTTGGTCCGCAAGAGTATCCGAAAGGTGATAAACAACATCTTCACTAGTTGGTCTCGAGCTACTGTACAACTAAATAGAAGTATAACATGGCAACCCTCTTCATGTTTTCTCCATTCGTTTTTTAGCCTCTGCTTTCAAACTGGAGTTGGACACGGATTTCATGAAAGTGATTCAGAACCACAAAGACATTTTGGTAAAACGAACTTAATTGTGAAATCAATGATGTTTGTATTAACCGCGTAGGAAAGTTGAGACATACCCGCTGTTCCAGTTTCTGAATGGTCAAAGCGTCTCCCTTCGTCCTATGGGAATCTGAAGTATCAAGTCTTGTCTGAAGTTCTCGGACCTGATTCTCCAAAGCCTTCTTCACCTTCTCAATAGTGCTACTGTGTTCCTGTTCTGAATGGAGCTCATCAGATATCCGGGTAGCATCAGCAATAGCACGCTTGTAGTTTTCTTGGGCGCCTCTCAGGTCGGAGGTCATCTCATCAAGATCAGACTGAAGCAGACGACAAATCAAAGTCTCATTGAGGTTAGAAAGCGATTGGCGTTTACCATTCGGTCAATGCCTTTTCTGCGGCAGAGGATGTTATACTTACATTTTTATGCAAATTGTATGAGTGGTGGATGTTACTGATCGAGCAGGCCATGCTAACCTCCTTTCGCTAACACCTGGTATCATCACTGATTTTAAGTTGTCCATTCACATTATTTTCACAGCTTTTTTTGCCTTTTTACGCCGAATGGATTTGTTTTGGCAGATAATCGAGAATGATTATTCTCTCGCGTTGATATTCCGTTTACCTACCACTATGCACACCGATTTGTCATTTATTACCAAATTGTGTCACCGAGAAGGTGACAAGTTAAATTTTGGAACCCGACACGTCAAATTTACGAACATGACATAAAAGAAAAAATGTAAACATTGGTATGTTATTCCTCATGAGCAGTGAAAACCCAGTTATCGTTTTCAATTTGAAATAGTTCACATTATGACATTATTTCAGTTTGGGGGGCATTCTCGAGCATGCTGATGTATTAGCTGATGGTGCAATATTTTTTAACATATTGAAGTAATAATAAAAGAGATCAATATAAAAAATAGTTCCAAAACTAATGGTGAGTTTCTGTCCGGAAAAATGAATCATTGGTACACTGTAACGTCGTTTTAATCATATATAGACGTTCCAAATGGTAATGTCTGGAATGCAGTGTTTGGACAAATGGTTCCGGACTTTCATCATATAACATAACATACATGTACCATACCACCCCTTCAGTGTTCGAATGAGGAATGTCATCGCATCTTTCTTAAATGAGTTATTGGCTTACGTTTAATGATAAATCGTCAGCCTCCTCTTTATCCAAATATTTTAACGTGGCTCGCCACTATACGCTTTCATACTGCTGACTGCACGCACGACACAATCACGCCCTGTCAGGTACACCACAAACCTGCATAGCGGATATGTCGACATCCTGTTTCCTCTTCTGTGTACTGACCGAACTAAGCTGTGCGCTCAGTTCGTTCAAACGGTCGTTAATCTCCATCAGTTCGTTTTCAGTCATTTTTCTTGCTCGCTCAGAAGACTCGAGAGCTGTACGCATCTCATCATTCTCGTCCTTAAGGGTCATAGAACGACGCTCCACTGTCTGGAAGGAGTCCCGGGCCTCCTGGAGGGCCCTGCTGTCCTCCTCAACCTGCATCTGTAGATCCTGCCAGGGGCAAACATAGCGGCTTGAGAGACAGTATTTAAATGTAGGACTGTAGGATCATCACATCTCTTCGTATTACAAACAGTTGTGAAAATTATTTGTGAAATAATAAGCAGGCGTCTGAACTTCATGTCCCTTCTCTTCATTACGAACTGGTGTATCAAAATAATAAGCACTAACCTAAAACTGAGACTTAGACTGCCTATACACTTTCCTTCATAAAGATGCTATCTACCTTAGCTGTATTTACGACAATATTTACGTGTCATATTCGGGAATCTTCGGTGGCCTTTGCAGTAAATGTCCTCAGTATTACATGCTTGTCAGAAGAACCGACTAAAGTGATATGTTTCGTCTGTTTGTTGTTGAGTGCCGCACTCAGTAATATCACAGCTATAGGACGGCAGACTGTAAATTAAGGAGTCTGGAACAGACAATCCAACGATACAACGAGCCTGACTACTCGAGCCCTAGGTTGTTGAAGACTAATTCTAACCCGGATCTTCACGGACTGAGGTGAGGATCTGATGGTAACACTATGAGGCCTGGCTCACTTTGTGGCATCATTTCCCTACGGTGTGGTTCGTTGCCAAGGCTGTAACGTGAAAGCGCCGAGTATGACATTCCTTGATGTTTAATGTCAGGTTTGAATTACTACGCCTCGTTAATATTTCCTGAGCCATTGATGTTCTCAAGTCGAGTTGCTTACCTTCATCTGAGATTGATATCTCTTGCAGGCATTCTCAACCTCGCTCCTGGCCCGGTTAGCATTGTCCACAGCTATCTCGAGATCACCGATGTCGCTCTCCAGCTTCTTCCTGATCCTCATGTACTCCGCCTTGGACCTGCCTTCCGCATCCAAGGAATTTTGAAGGTTATCCAAGGACCGCTGGAAGTTACGACTGAAATACAAGTCAGAGTTTGAGTGAAACGCAAGGAGTAGCACTGGAGCATCTCACGGCTGATCGTGTATATATTGGTATACAGAGGATACGTATATGTAGTTGTTTCACACAGCTGACAAGGCATAGCGTATTCCAAGGACCTCAAACAGGACATCGATCTATTCTGCTATTCACAAAAACTATGGGTTAGACTATGATTTGTAACGACTTTTGTCATTGTAACCGCCTCGATGTCTAGGCATACAACAAAACATCAGCTTGAGACATGAACACCTAATTAATTGTTCAACGTCACGCTCTGTATTACTTTGTCATCCGTTACCTGTGAGAAGAAAGAACTTGTGAATGAACTAATCTTCTTAAGGACCTGTGATTGGGAACGGACCAAAGTATTTTAATGGTACACGAGGTGGAGTACTGATGATATACTGATATGTTACCGGTGGTTCTCAAATTCCTCTTCCTTCTCAGCAACGCGTTTATCAACTTCAGCTCGGACCTGAGAGATTTCAAGCTGTGCGCGCACAATCTTGGCCTCCTCCTGCTCCAGGGCAGCCTCAGCCTCTATCAATGCAGACTGAAGGTCGGTTTTCTCTGTAGAAATGCGTCGGTTAGCTTTCTCCACATCCGCCAGAGTCCTGGTATTGTCACTGAGTTGGTTACTGAGAATGACCACTTCCTCTGGAAAAACGATCAGCTTTCATTATTACCAGTTATCAAATTATCACGTCTTTGAGATTATATTTCCTGAAGAACGAATCAGGAGTATGAAGAACCCTTGATTAAAACTGTCGTCCAGAAGGAGTGGACTCTATCTGACAGGCGGTGGACTAAATAGGAAATAATGTGTACGCAAACAGGAAGAGGTTCACCATAAGCTGAGATATCATGCATGGTCGCCGAGTCTCTTTATATTTGCTAAGATTCAGCTCCGACTATTCACCTGAGAGATTCTTGTTCTCTCTCTTCATTGAGTCAATCTGGCCATCCATGTCCTCCACCTTGCTTCTGGTGCGGTACAGCTCGGCAGAGTAGCCCCGTGACTCTTTCTGAGACACCTCCAGTTCAGCCTTGAGGTCAGCGATCTTGCTCTGGTACTCCTGTACTAATCTGTCAAAGTTACGCTGCTTCTTCTCAAGACTGTTCACAGTAGTCTGGGCCTAGATTAAATGCATAAATCTATGTAACAACTGATTTCGTCACCATTTTCGTTAAATAATATTGTTTGAACTTCTCATTCATAAATTAAAATTTTCAAAATGAAGCCTACTTCATCTTTGATTAATTTAGATTTCATTGAGGGGAAAAGTGAATGTTGTCAGCAGCTATGTCACGGCCGGCGATAATATTCGAAGCTAGGTCAGGCTAACGAACGATCCACACCATCGCAGAACGATGACATTCAGATCATTCATTTTACCCGTCCGATCTCCATAAGTCGGAAGCTAAGTCGGAGGGTAATCCATCTCCGCCTTCCCACTGCCCCATAAATTAGGCATGCATAACGGAAGTAATCGTCTTACCCTCTGGTATTCCATGGCTATGTCATCAATCTCGGCTTGCATCCTGATCTTCACCTTCTCATTCCCGGAACTACGGGTACGCTCACTCTCCAAATTCTGTTCAGCCTCGTTTAGACGGGACTGCATGCGACGCCTGAAGCATCAATTGTTCCAAATGTAACTTACATAAAAGAATATCACCATGGTAATGCCATTTGACCATGTTATATATTGGTATTTACAGGTAGATATCAGTGTTACCAAATACGGTGATGAGATATTGGGTTGTGGAAAGTACTAATTGCAATTATTTTCCCATAGTCATGGTCACATTTACTGCCTTAACGATGGCCAATTATAGTAACCAGTCGTCTAATGCGCTGCAATTCTTTGTGATGTGACGTGCTGAAAGCTACGATCGTGGGTTCGAATCACAGATTCGCCCTGATTATGTCTCTGGAATTGTCAGCACCAACTCGTCCTCATGAGTTCACCATAATGGTTGACGTCTCATACCCGCACCACTTCGGGATTTCCTCCCGTATCAAGCTAACATACCGTGATATAACTGAGTTAAACCAAACTCACTCACTCACTCCCATAGTAACCGTACCTTATATCCTCCAACTCTTCCACCTTGATGCTGCCCTCAGTCTCGAACTTGGACCTCCACTGCAGCATCTCATTGTTAGATTTAGACAACTGTCGCTCCAGGCTGGCACACCTCTCCTGTTCCTCAATAAGCTGATCACGAACCCCTCCCATCTCGGCGTTCAGGTTGCGGAACTCTGCCTGGAGTTTCTGGCGCATCTGTTGGAGGATCACAACGAGACATGTTGCATTGTTAGAGAAAACGTTAACTATGTTGTGTCGTACGAAAATGCGGTTCCCTTGTGTTTTACAATAGTACGTGTCCAGCGTTATCTAGTACGACTATACCTGTCCGATGGTGTATGTAGTACACTGATGTTTGTCTTAGGTTCTAGAGGTGTATTATACGTGTCCTATTATGCAAAATACTACGTGTTCATGTCCTTTGTTGGATAGTATAAGAACATGTCTTATGATGTTCCTTAATACGTATCCTAAGATGTATAATGCAGTATGCTTCTGTTGATGTATAGTACCACAATACAAATATTCAGTTCTGAACAGAAAGACAACTTGTCTCATGGTGTATTGTGAAACTACGTGTCCTCCGTTTCGTTATGTCGTTGTTTTTAAACTAGAAATAAAAATAGATAATATGTTTGCTATTATGAAACCCACAGAAGAAATAGTAACGTGAAGCATATACTAGCCGTTTTATAATAAGACTTATAATAACAATTGATAAAAGGTAATGATATAATTGGTCGAAAAGGGAGGAGTTTTGGAGAAGAGCTTTCTAATATCTGAACATGAGCAAGTCTGATTTTCCTAAGTGATGTTAAAAACAGTACAAACATATGGCAAAACAATCATCACGTTCACGGACATGGATGGTCGGCCTTTTTGGCTCATCTTATCCATTACGTCTGAGTTTGATCATGGGACCTTGCAAGTGACAGATAGAAAAATGTTTACTCGTCCACCATTTGAATATGTGTGACAGTTTTGTACCATTATTTCGACATTTCCCATAACACTAACGTTGGACATTTCCAGTGGCCCAAAGGAAGCACTTACCCTTCCCCGATCTGTGTTACGATAGTGATTTCTGCCATACCACCCTACACGTAAACCCTTTAAGTAACCGTAACGACCTCTGGACCATCAGCTAGCCAGTGGTTCCCATCACTTCCTCACCCTCTGTTCTTCATCTGCACTGCGTCTGGACTCCTCCACCTGCGTAAGAAGTGTCGCCCTCTCCCGAGACAGGTGTTGTGCCCTACGTTCCGCGTCTTCCACCTGGCGGGTGAGGTCAGAGGTCTCACCCTGGAGTCTGTTCCTCTGGGTCTGGAGATCAGTGATGTTACGAGAAGACTCCTCCAGTTGAGATGCCAGGTCGGACAACTGGCCCTGCAGCTGTCTGGAAGCTGCGTCGGACATTCCACCCTACAAAGTCAGGTATTGCAATATGAATATTTCAATAAAAATACATGATAAAATTAGTTATTGGCTTTGATAAAAAAAGTAAATGATCAAACATTCCATATCAAAATTCATACGTCAACTCAGACATTGATTTTGCCAGATAAAGATACATTCTTGACAATTCAGAAATAGGGGACCCAAAGCAGATATTGTGTATCCCCAACAAGGGTCACCCGTTTACGCACTAAAGTACCAAACAACCATAAAAGTGTACCTTGTTCCTCTTGGCATTCTCCAGCTCTGACTGTAGATCATCCATCTCTCCCTTCATCTGGTTCTTCTCCTTCTCTAGTCTGAAACAGATCCGCGACCATGACAACCATAGAGTGATAATTTCTCAAATATACAATGGTAACTGATTAGCCAAGTCTAATGTTGGATCCGGTGGTGTATCCTAGGCAGAATACAATTTAGTACATGAATATCGTGTCTGTAGTGAGGGCTTGCTCTCGTGGTGTCACGATATTTCATGCGATAATTTGTCTGTGCACATCTGATTGTTTACCGACATGCTCCGATGTGAAACAATAATGGTCGATACGCTCACTCTTATCATAACGATTTAACGAAGACCTATGTACATAGATTATATTCCAGATTAACTTCCCTGTTGGTTTAGAGGCTGTCTGGTTTTAAAGATAGTCATTGGATAATAAATAACACTCTGCCTGAACAGGTCACGATGAAATTCCCTTTCATAAAACGTCGGTATTCCAGCATCTTGATTGAACATATTTCTCAAAACAAATAACTAAGTCCAAGAAACACAATGGTAGTTGGTGTTAATGTTGCACCAAACCGTTTGTGACATGTTCGCTCGATAGCTCTATTGAATGGTTCACTCACAAATGGTCTCCGTGGTCCAGATACAGCGTTAGCCCGAGAGAGCTGAAGATCGATGGTCGATAAGCATGCACGTCGCTGTATAACTGCCGTAATCTTAAACGCCACGTTAAATCCCATTTTACCTCACCGAATATGTAAAATTCATTGTGATAATCAAATCTAAAAATCTAATATTCTCTATATATACCTCGCCCTGTGCTTCTGCAGTGTGTCAATTTGGTCACTGAGATCATTGGAAACGTCCTGGTTCTTCTTGCGCAGAGCGGCGACCTGAGCTTCAGCCTGCATGACGCTCTCCTCCAGGTCTCTCTTCAGCTTGTTGATGTCAGCCTGCAGGCGCTTGTTTGCATCAGCCTGAAAGCACCGCAATATGAGCATGGCACATTTGTGATCGTATTGCTATAAGGGCCTCATCTTGATGTGTAGACCGCCTCCGAGGTCTAGTGGTAGAGCGTCCGCCCGGAGAGCGGAAGGTCCGGGGTTCGATCCCCGGCCGCGTCATACCAAAAGACGTTGAAAGATGGTACTTGTTGTTACCCTGTCTGGCGCTCGGCTAAAACAAGGACTGGTCGGCTCGGAGTCGGTATACTGTGTCTGAGTGGGGTATTCATGTTAAACTGCGGCATGGTATCTCAGTGAGCTAGCACTATAAATCGGCATCAGTCCGGACTAGTACAACCAGCCACACAAACATACACACGTACATGCACGTCGCTATATAAGTGCAATAATCTTGGACGCGACGTTAAACCCCATTTCACCTCACCTCTTGATGTGTAAAGTCACTTAACCATACCAGGATCCATTTCTCGTGAATTCGAATCCATGATTGCTACTGGTTATGGCCTTTAGTCTGTCAGCAACATACCCGTGCTCCTGGGTTGACAGGCTGTGCGTAACCTGAAATACTGGTCACAGCGTTGCTAAATAGTAACATAGCCTCACATAGTAAATTAAGGCTTTCACTACAAGTGTTGCCGTTTATGAAGAGTTGTTTTAACGTATTAACCAGAAGGCAACCTGTGTCACCATGCAAGGTTGTGGACATACATGGTTTGCAGTATCGTCACCCGCTTCTTCTAGGCGGACAGACAGTTCTTCGACCTCTCTGGCCAACTCTTGCCGTTGTTTTTCGACCTGTCAAAATTGCAATAATTGTAATATATTCTGTAAAAGATTCAGGCCTCTCACGAAAATGAATGCTAATGCGAAAAGTATATACTCATGAAAAGATGCATGTTCTAAACTGATTGAATACACAATACCCATCCGTTACACTGTGTTCGGACAGGTTTGTGCGACAGTGTCCTTAACATCAGCTATCATATTACAAAGGAGCATAAGTATGCAGAGTATGTTATTGACTATTATTCTTTCTATTTGTCATTTAACATGTACGCATTGTTCTTATTTCATCTGTTAACGCAATAACAGTTGCTGTGATATGTTGATAGAATCCATTTCAATTTTTCCACGCATAATTGCAAATGCATAGTGTTTGACATATCTGTGTGTTGATCGGGCATTTTGGTTGTGATTTAAGATGTGAACATGTATAAATCGTATTAATTTCAATTCTGCAATATTCAGGCTGCTGCTGCAATATTTAAACGCTGTACTGTTTATTTCAGGATGTGTGTATGTCATCTTCTGTTATATCGAAGACATTATTGAACATCCAAGAACATTGTGTTTCATGCGATCAATCTGCTAATTTCGCTTACCTTTGATCTGTTTTGTCTTTCCATCTCAAGCTCAGCAAGGCAGTCATCAACGTTTGCCTGCAATAGAATCAGTAACTGGATGACTTCCTTTGCATTCATTTAATCATATTCATTTTTAATATAAGTATAGATGTTGAAAACATACAACGATCAAACTACACTTTGTCTTATTTCTCAAACGGAAACATGTTTAAGAATAAAATGTTGGTGACATAGGTATTGTTGGAATCCTCTTCCAAAAGGAAATCGAAGTATGGGAGATAATACAGGCGCAGGAACTAGGCCGATGACTCTGAAAACCCACAGACAAATACTAGTAGTACTACATGTATTTGATTAACTGACTGTGAGGTCCTTGATCTTTCTCTGTTGTTGGCTGCACTTGTTCTCGGCATCATCCAGGTCAACCTTCAGGCTGGACAACTCCTTCTCCTTCCTGGTGGAGACAATAGCAAGTCATAAGAAGGGTGTAATGTCGTTTCAATCACTATTCCAGTCAATCAAGACAATGGTTTCACACATTGTGTCCATACAGTGAATCGAACATCTGGTTCGAGCCTAACGAGCCAGCCACTAGCCTTACTAAACGTCTCATTAGATACGAATGTTTTTGGTGGCTACTACGGTGGCAAGTATTAAATATGAAATGAATTAGTGAATAAACAAAAAGTGAACACTCCAAAGTTCGGGAATGGTTTGGACCCGATCTTTTAGGAGATGTGAAGAGTTGCTGCCATTAACCGTGCCAGATTCGGTTGGTCGTAGGTTCAAATCCCACATTTGTCACATTTGGCTTTATTTCCACTATAGGATGAAATATTGTTCAAAGCGGTGTTAAACCATACTCACTCGCCAAATGTATCATTAATCTGCCCCTGATACCATTAGCTTACCTCTTAACCGTTTCCTCGAGTTCTGTCCTTACATTCTGCAGCTCAGAGCAAGCGTCTTGGGAAGACTTGAGATCTTGCTCCAGCTTCTTCTTGGCCTTCTCCACGTCCGCCCGGACTCTCTTCTCACGTCCAAGATTCTCCTCAAACTAAAACATGTAGAACAAAAACCTAGTAAGTAACATTTTAAAAGACACAGAGAAGTATAAATTCTGACGACAATGCCCCCTGCCAACGACAACTAATATCTTGGAGCCATCATCATTGACAAAAAAGTTACTCAGAGCCTATAGATTACGAGTTAGTAACTAACATTAACCCTTATCAACTGCCCAAACAGTATGCTTAGCAACACACATATATTACTAAAGGATACCAAATAAACGACAATATTAACAATCTTACTTCATCAAGAGTTGTTTCCAACTTTTGCTTGAGTTTGTTGAGCTGTGAGTTCTTATCTTGCTCTGATCGAAGATCATCCTCTGTCTTCTTCAATTGGTCCTCAAGGTCTTTCTTACTCTTTGACAATTTGGCAATGGAGTCATCTTGTTTTGACATCTCTCCTTGTAAGGTCTTGATCTGGTCTCCTCTGGTTTTGAAATCGTTTTCTGCCTACGATGTAAATCATATCTACTGTGCGTATGAATTGTAAACTGTTAGTTTGATAGGGCAATTTAGAATGTAAATGCTCACAACTTGAAAACATGATAATCCAACATATGTGCTTTAAGGTGATAGGCATTTCTTTAATAATACCTAACAAGACATATTTTGCTTTATATACCTGGGTAAGACTGTTCTCAAGGTCGATAATGTCTTTTTCCATTATTTGCATTTGATTCTCCAGCTTTGACTGTTTCTCTGACAGTTTGGCATTTTGGGCTTCTTCCTCAGCCACCCGACCATCCAGTTCCTTTATCTGTGATTCATTTTCAAGCTTTGTCTGAAGCAATTGCTCGATTCTTTCCTCGCAATCATCTATGGTATCTTGTTGGGTCTCAACTTCCACTTTCAAGTCGTTTTTGGCATCATTAAGAACAACATTTGCTTCTTCAAGCTCCTTGCACCTCTGTGTCACCTTCTCAAGCTCTTCCTTTGCCTTTGCCAGTTCTTCTTCTTTCTGTTTCATCTCATCTTCAGCGGCTTGAATGCTGAGGAGGGGCTTGACCTTGGTGTAGAATCTCCACCAGAGCCAGTTCCTCATGGCCAGCCACTTACGGATGTTCTTCTGGATCATCTCAAGGGCAGTTCTGAAAAAGGTTACCGATATTTTCAAATCAGAATGCATGTCAGATGATGTCATTAAAGCATGCTTTCTATTTAATTCTTGATTTGTGTAGTTGTTTAACAAATTCAATTGTCTTCAAATTAAATACCAGATATGTAGTTAATGTATTATCAATAGTGACGGTACGAGGGGCGTTCAATAACTTTTGCAACTTCAATATAAGACCAAGTCGCAGAATATCTTATGCACTTTTATTTTTCAATATAATGTCCTGTAGGGTGGGTGATTTAACTGTTCGAACCAAGACTTAGCCCAGTGACTATTTCCTGTGACGGCAAATGAAATCTGCCCTACGTGGAAGACGCTTCCAGGATGACGAGGACATATAGGCTGCCACAGAGGCGTGGTAAGAGGGCCAATATGCGGATTTCTATAAAAATGGCATTAAAAGCTTGAAGGAAAAATGGAATAACTGTACTGGGTTGAATGAAGATTATATTGAAAAATAAAAGTGCACAAGATATTCTGCGACTTGGTCTTATATTGAAGTAGCAAAACTTATTGAACGCCCCTCGTATATCATCAAAATGAAGACCCATATGTCCATGTAACACTGCTATTGAAATATACTGAACAACAAAAGTTCCTGTGACATTGAATAAGATTTAATGCAAAGTAATGTTTTTTACCAAATCTGAAACAATTTCGGCTTGCAACAGATAAAAGACTCCTGTAAGTGTTCAAATGGTTTAATTTGCCACACTGACTTCAGAAAATACGAGATTTCATATAAAAAAAAACATGAACATGCCAAAATGTCAATTCACAAATCAATAGTGTGTGTGTCCACCTCTGGTTGCGATGCAAGCAACACATCTTCGTCTCATGGAATGGACCAGACGTCGCACAAAGTCCTGTGGAATATCTGTCCATATCTGCTGGAGCATGTTTCGAAGTTCCTGGAGTGTCCGTGGAACACGTGGTTGACGTCGAAGTCGCCGATCCATCTCATCCCACATGTGGTCGATTGGTGAGAGATCAGGGGAGCGAGCCGGCCAGGGGGTGACATTCACGTTGTTTTGTTGAAGAGATTCCTGAACAAGTCGAGCAATATGAGGCCGGGCGTTGTCATGTAATGCCTGGGCCATGACGACGCAAAAACGGTAGAACAACAGGGCCGATGATCTCGTCGGGGTAGCGCTGTCCATTGATATTTACCTCTACCACTATGAAACGGGTCCTCTGTCTTGCTGTAACCCAACCCCATACCATAACGCTGCCGCCCCCGAACCAATCTTCTTCCATGACACAATGATTGACGTAACGTTCACCTTGACGTCGGTACACTCGAATCCGACCATCGCTGTGGCTGAGGTGAAAACGAGACTCGTCAGTGAATAGAACTTGTCCCCACTGCATGGCCGTCCAGCGTAGACCCTGTCTGCACTACTGTAGACGTGCTTAACGGTGGTTTCCTGTCAAAATGGGACGTCTGGCGGGTCTTCTGGCGCATTGCCTGCACATCTGAGGCGACGACCTACGGTTCGTGAAGATATTCGTCGAAGGCCAGGGATGCTTCTTGCAGTCACTGTTGCTGGCTGGAATCGATTTCGTAGGTGTGTTGTTCGAATCCAGTTGTCTTGTCGATTATTGGTTACGCATGGCCTGCCACTCCGAGGATGGTCTCTGACTGCATTCGTCTGTTGCTAACGTTGCCATAAACACTAAATGGTGTTTCTGTGGACGTTAAATTGTCTTGTAACATCACGTTGACTCGATCCTGCTTCAAGCATACCAATGGCTCGCAGACGCTCATTTTCGGACAGGCGTGGCATTTCGTAATGTTGAATAATTGCGTAATTTTGTTGTTTTTCTGAGTGATTGTTGTCAGCACGATGCTAAACAATGCACATGGAATCCCGTTATTGCACATGTTTTTATACCCATTCTTGGGCAGTGAAATGCATGGGGCTTGCATAAAAGACAACTTTTGCATGGAATGCATGCTTTTCTGTAGCAGTTGCGTTTTTGTGACTTGATTCCATACATGCACTATAATATTGGAAACCAAACTTTACTTGTTTGAAAAATACACTAAGTGTAAGCCAGCAAGTTGGCTGGGATCAATGATAAGGTCGAAGCATCTTTGAAAGATATTTACTTGCAACGCCGGATATACATAACTTACCTCTTGTCCTGAAGCATCTTGATGAATTTGCGCTTCAGGTAGCCCCGAATATGGGCCTGGAACAGGGCTACAACAACGGACAGTCGCTCATCACGGATTTCCTCGAGGTAACCCAGGACACCAGCCTTGAAAAACACCTTGGTGTTGCCGAGACGATATTCCTCCTTATTGAGCTCCAGGGCTTCTAGGATTTTTGCCGAAACAATTTTCCCCTCTACAAAACCCTCAGGAACAGCGTTCGGAGCCAGAATGGAGTATCTGAAATTAATAGCATAAAATTAGTTTCCTTCGCAAATAGAACGGCAATTTTGGGAAACAGTTGTATGATATGGTCTTTTTTCCCTTAACAATCAAATTACCTGAGCCATAAACACTTACCTCTGTTTGAACTCTGAGTAGATGATCCTACTAGGGAATCCCTTTCTGCAGATACGGATACCTTCTAGTACACCGTTACACTGAAGCTGGTGGAGCACAAGTGCAGCGTCAATCAGACCTATTAAAGAGGTAAGAGTGTGGGGAAACAATGTGGTGATAGCAGTAATGACATGAACTGACATGAACCATTTTTTTCTACTGTCATACTATGTTCACTGCAAATGAATATGGATACTAATTAATAGTACCTGGCGTCTTTGTCTCATTGGGAATGATACATCGCACGAAGTGAGGGTGTGTGGTGTACAGGTTCTTCATCAGCTTGTTTAGAGACTCCTAAAATTCAACGTTAACATGTATTACAACAAATGTAAAGCTCTATCCTATCTACACAGTCAAAGTACATGTGCCATCTATCAAATTGCATCTTGCCGAAGCAAGCTAGTCAACTGAATGTAAAAGTCTAGTTTCCACCCTTGACGAACTAGGCATCAATTATGAAGTTCTACTTTGGCTGGACTAACGAGACTATGCGTAGTCGAATCAAAATCGCGAAACGGAAAGATGATCAACATGATGTATAAAGTAAGAAAATGCTTCATAAAAACATTTAGGGAAAAAACATCCTACTGTCGTCTGCTTTGATACACTTCTTACCCTGTGAGTGGCAGAAATGGTCTGGAATGCAGAGCTCTTCTTCTTCTTCTTACCACCAGAAGCTGCTGCAGCATCTGCTGAAGGTAATATACATACACTGAGTATATTGTATGATATGAATATTGCATACAGGTCATATTATGAGAACAGTATTTTCGGTAAATCTTACCGAACGCGATTACATCTCTACGCTTATAACATAAGCATTGTCCAACAAGAGAGGGCGTTTCCTACCAAACTACCATGATATGATATGATATGAATATTGCATACAGGTCATATTATGAGAACAGTATTTTCGGTAAATCTTACCGAACACGATTATATCTTAACGCTGATAACATCAGCGTTGTCCAACAAGAGAGGGCGTTTCCTACCAAACTACCATGAGTAAATTATTTATCATTCTGTATCGCATCAGTAATTGTCCCGATATAAAGAGATGATGTACCGCGTAGAATGCACAGAACTATGATATATCTGTCCCTCGTGAATTGCAACTGATGGGTAATAAATTAACATTATAGCTCATGAAACTTATTTTAGTTTACATGGGTGATCTGTATGTATCAATTGTCACTCTACATGAAAAGCATCTTTCTGTTGTTCATCTAGGTTATATTGAATCGGTTTAGAGTTCACTTATTCCTGAGATACATGAAGATCTAACTGCTACCAAACAATCTAATAGATATTGCTTTTAGCCATTTATTCTAAATCTATTCAAACTGAATTTGTTTTTGCTATCATATTCATGAAGATGTACTTAATTGTTTTACGAATAGTACCTACGAATAGGTCTACTGTGAAAATATTAGTAATAAACTGATAGCCATTTTTGTTAGATATATAATTGTTTATATGCGGCAGATAAGGTTAAATGAACTGTGAGTAAATATATCTACCTCCTCCAGGTGGAGAAAAGAGCAGCTGAACAAGTGGTTCCTTAGACTGTTTAAGGAGTTCCACAATGGTCTCATTGACAGGATCCTTGTTTTTCTCCAGCCAGCCTCCGATGTTGTAGGGAACTGTTCCTGCATAATGCTTCAGGGCGAAATCACCGTATTGACCTCCTTTCATAGATTTGTTTGTCTTGAGGAAATTGGGTGATTTGCCCATGTGATTCTCAGTCAGTTTGTCCTTGAAGGTCTTGTCAGAGGCCTTAGGGAACATGCACTCTTCTTCAAGGATTGACAGGATACCCAGGGGCTAAAACATTTGAAGTGTTCACGAAGATATATCTCTGTGATATCGAGAGTATTGTACAGACGTTACGTGAAATATGAAATACACGTCGTTTCGGGAAGTATAATTTACTGCCCAGATTTAGATTAGCAGCAATTAACCTACCTTTTCAATGAGTTCAATGCAGGCCTGTAAGTCCATGCCGAAGTCAATGAACTGCCAGACTATGCCCTCTTTCTTGTATTCTTCCTGCTCCAGCACAAACATGTGGTGGTTGAAGAACTGCTGCAGACGCTCGTTGGTGTAGTTGATACACAGCTGCTCGAAGCTGTTGAACTGTTTGTAGTGAAACCATGAATGTATATTAAAAAATATAATACATATTTATCTACACGATTTATAACTAGAATTACCTGCTGCAGAAAACCAAACGTAATAGTACAAGGCACTTTGCTCACCTCAAAAATCTCAAATCCAGCAATATCCAACACTCCAATAAAGAACTGTCTTGGCTTCTTGGTGTCGAGTGAGTGGTTGACTCTCTTGACCAGCCAGTTAAAAACACGATCAAAGAGAGATTTAGCAAGGGCACCCACTGAGTAGACAACCTGTGCCTTTGTCCTGCCCTGAATGACGTAATCCATGGCTACCTTGATCTTGGGTTTACACAGAGCCTTCAGGAAGTCACCATTGTTGACACCCAAAAGGAAGGAAACTTTCTCAGCCTCAGCAGTTCCATCAGGCTCAGCCTGTTCACCCTTCTGCTTGAACTGCATCTGACCCATGTGTAAGATGGAACCAGTGCACTTGTAACAGCTAACTTTTTCATCCGGAGTAAATCCCAAGACATCAAAGGCACTCTGCAACATATCATTGCAACTTTATTTTTGTTTTAATCTAATCATGAATATGTTTTACACCATTAACCCATGACACATCAAATTCAGAGGGCTTGTAGAAACTGACCCCAGTGTCATTAAAGCATCTGTCGCTAAAATCAGGACATTAAAATGTAGGTTGTTAATAAATTATTGTCATTATATAGTCATATACCAATGCTCACTTGTCATATGAACTAAGGGATTGTGCTCATATTTTTGCAGGATGATTGAACGTTCAAGAAAGTTTTGACTGTTTTGGCATTTGAGGGATACCTACATGTGTCATGTTCATCTCCTCAACATCATCGATGCCGTTGACTGTAAGGACTCCTTGGTTGATGAAGGAGTATAGACCAGCGTCATTCTTAGTCAAGCTAATTTCTAGAAACAACACATTGAAACGTTAATGACTTTATTTGCATATGCATTATATATTTGCATATGTATTTCGTATCTCAGTTACATACAGTAACCCACTACCAAGCAAATTAATATCCTACTGAGTATATTCACTGAATAGTTTAATATTGTGCAATTGCATTTATATTGTAGCAGCTTCACAAAGCAATACTATAACTTAATTTATTTTCAGGTACTAAAACTATTCGTAGACATAACAGTTAGGTGACTGTTTTGAACAGGTGTTTGCAGTGCAACACGTGTCTTGAATATACTTCATGTAACAGTACAGAACAAAATATCACAGAATATGATATGAGAGCTGACAATGTAGAATGTCCATATATAATACATCAAGGTTGTGCAGTAGATTAACTACTGGAATTTCTTTCCATCGGTGATCGCACGATGCATTCAGCGGAGGAGGCTGGAATGCAATATGATACCGTCTTATCGTCGCACCATTTGCGTCAATGAGTTATGCAAGGATAACTTCTTACGATATTGATTTCAAGACCCACTAACCCAAAATCTCTGGCACCGCTCCAGAAAGCATCTGGTAAAAGATGTGGTAGTTCCTCTCAACAGACTGTTGGTAGGTTACACGAGACTTCTCCAGCAGGTCTGGGGAGATAACAGATATGCCTGAGACTTTTTTTCAATGTTTTCGTTCTTTGTAGATGCATATTATCTTAATAACATAATGGTATATCAGAGAAGACAGCGTTCACAGTGATCTTCATGCACACTCTGCATGACACATTCTTGTTAGTATAATGCTAATATTCTTATATGATTACCCAAGTATCGTGTGTGCACAGAAAATGAGATAGAAGCTTGACAAGCCTTGCTGTAGTACTTACATGTTTCAATATCAGCACCAGAGATTTTTCCAGAGCTTGCGAAGTGGATACGAACAAATTTACCCTGAGAAAATATAGAAGCACATATGATCACTTAAAACATTCAAGTAGTCGAACTTTAGTAAAGTGATTTATGACAACGTTCTTTAGCTGAAATGATCTTCAAAGGGATCATCGATTACAGGTATAGCTAATATCTGAGAGGAAACAAACTGGAATTTTCAGCATGATTTCATTTGAATTTGCCTTTGATTTTTGAAGTTTGTTTACTGGATTCAGTTTATATGTAATCAGTTCAGTCGGTCTTCAATTTAATTATTAAGGACCAGAATAAATGAAACTCATTTGTGTTGTTTTTGACTTGAAATTGGCCCATTATAACATTATATGTATGTCTGTTATGAACAGCTGTAAAACAACTTACGAATCTGGAAGAGTTGTTGTTACGGGATGTCTTGGCGTTTCCGTAGGCCTCAAGAACAGGGTTAGCCTGCACGATTTGGTCTTCAAGGGAACCCTTGAATGATTGTAAAAAGCCTATTAGAATAAGTATACACACAATTTGGCAAGTATTGTATTCAAAGAAGGAAGCGTATATCACCTTCTTTTCTTCCTTCGGAGTTTCTTCCTTCTTGTCGCTTGCGGCAGCTACCAAGGCGAAGTAGCCGATGACCTTCTTGGTGTTCTCAGTCTTTCCAGCTCCAGATTCACCGCTGACAAATGATTATTATTGATTGATAATTATAAATACTGCCAACCAACAAAGGGTACAGTGAGTGAGTGATATGAACAGTATTACTGTTATGTCACTTGTCAGATTAATGCGGGAGGAGAGTTATGCAGATCGTGGACGTTTAGCACTTTGGTGAAATCCACGAGCACTGTTATGGTACTAACAAACCATATCAGGGATTATTTGAGATTATATTCCACAATCACTGAATTTTTTAAATGCCTTAAAACGCAACTAAATCGAAATGCGGAATCTTAGAGGGCCATCGGTGTTCGAAGCATTTCCATACAGTATAAATATGATATTCCCGTAAAGCATTGTAGATATTCAGGATCTTAGTACGTGAACATACATGTATCTGATGGTAATATTTGTTTCACTTGAATAAACACTGTCAAACTACTCACGTAATCAACATGGACTGATTTTCACGATCTGAAAAGTGAACATAGTACAGTGAAATCATACCTGTAACACATTGTGTACATATATCTGATATACTTAATAATCATATTTCATTAACACCCGTTGCACGTAGATGCAATTGGCATCAGCCGTTAGACAAATGTGCTATTGTGGGGACGACGCAACATAAAAATGTTTGTGACATCATCAACAATGTATGACGTCATCTTCAGTTATCAGACGCAATGCGTTAACATGACGTCACTTTGGAATGGGTGTCTTCGCAGACAATAACAATGGAACAAATAGGGCGAATCAGACAATCGGTATGAAACATAATTAACGAAAATCGATTCACCTATACTCTTGCCCCTATGGGTTATATTACTGTGTTAGCTCACCTTGCACCATGAACTGGTAGGCATTATCAGCAATGGAGAACAAGTGAGGAGGCATCTCGGTCTTCCTCTTCCCCCTATATTTATCTACAACTGACTGAGTGTAGATGGGGAGACGACGGTAGGGGTTGATGGCGATACAGAACAGGCCGGAATATGTCTGGAAACATATATATGAAATATATATGATATGAAATAGGTGAAACCAACGGGAGGACGCAATATGAAAATGTTAGTGTACACTCTACAGTTTCACTAAACCTCATGGTTCGCCAAATATAAATTATTGTAGGGATTTGCAATAGTCACTTAGTCACTTAGTCACTGATCACACCTGCAAGTCCAGACAGACGCCACCCACGCAACACGGTGTCTTTGTTCTTTGCGACTGCGTCAAAGGCCGACACGAGCCAGCGCGCATGTATTGTTTTAGCGGAAGTACTCTAATCAGTGCTAATGAGCGGTGCTATTTGGTGTGTGATTGGATTAATGTAAGGTTGGATGAGGGTGAGGATTCTCCTGTACACCTGACAGAGGACATTTTCTTTAGATATAAATCCACTGATGCTTGAGAGGAGGGGGGTGTCGCATACATATTGAGTCGCATTATTGACTAGGGGCCAGTTGTCGCATTCTTTTGGAGACGCATTAATTTCACGATTTACAGTATATATATATATATATATATCCGGGCGGACGCTCTACCACTAGACCACGGAGGCGGCCGTTGATGATAGGAGATTGGATATAGTGGTAGTATAACCACCTGGTACTATCATTACCTGAGAAAATACAATACAGATACAAGTGTACATATTCTGAGTGTGAATTGGGCAATGACTGGGTATTCTAAAATGTCTCACAATTCAGTCACTTGGTACAACAATACCATGACGACAGGGACCTTGTTGCTAAACTGACGTCACACGGCACTGTTTCGAACGTTGCAGCCAAGTCTTCTAAATTACGTCATGGGTATTGTCACATGTGTGCAAGCCGTTTCTATTACTGCCGACACACTCCGGCGCAGTGATGACTGTGCATTTGGTATAATTTGTTTTACCTTTATACCGATGAGAGACGTTACTACCAAAATATCAGATATCGGATGTGAATAGACAAAACTTTTCGAAACGTAACTTCTCAATGGCCTGATGAATGTGTTGTGTTCTATCACTAAGGTGATCATATGGACCCCGCAAGGTAGGAGAAATCAGTCTTGCCAGGGTTAAGTGTTTATTATTTTACGCCGCTTTTACCAATATTCAAACAATTTTAATGAGGGAGAGTTAAAGAAACGAAAATGTATAATTAAAAAAGGGTCAAAGTGAACACAGTATCATATTGGATTGTACTGCCATTAATGTAGGTGAGGTGAAATGGGGTTTAACGTCGCGTCCAAGATTATTGCACTTATATAGCGACGTGCATGCACGTGTATGTATGTGTGTGGCTGCTTGTACTAGTCCGGACTGATGCCGATTTATAGTGCTAGTTCACTGAGATACCATACCGCAGTTTAACATCAATACCCCACTCAGACACAGTATACTGACTCCGAGCCGACCAGTCCTTGTTTTAGCCCCTTAATACCGAGCGCCAGACAGGGTAACAACAAGTACCATCTTTTAACGTCTTTTGGTATGACACGGTCGGGGATCGAACCCCGGACCTTCCGCTCTCCGGGCGGACGCTCTACCATCAGACCCCGGAGGCGGTCTCCATTAATGTAGACATACCCCGGTAGCCGGAGGTATATCACTACTCTAACAACACACGCGTACTTACATAGATCATGCCAGAGGTGTATCGAGATCTTAAATTGTAGAGGACGCTGGCTTCGTTCAGATAGGTAAGGTTGGCGATGTCCTCGTATTTCTCAAACTTGGGTGGGTTCATTTGCTGAATCTCATCAGCCTTGAACGTTTTAACCTGAAAAGAATAAAATGGAATTCGGTTTAAGAGCAATTAATATAAAAACGGACATTGAAGAAAACACGTGTTTGATACCAAGAAAGACATGTGCTGTAAAGTTATGATTAAAGAGATTATGATTAAAATGCGTTTGCATTGATACAGATACCATAAAATAAATTGAATCTGGTTAATGAAATGACTATAACTTTTTAAAATAATCAAATACAATTGTTTTGTTCCTTTGTTATTAACGTCACACGTAGAAATATAACAGCTATATCACTGCGGCCTGTAAATACGGGCCAGACAGTCCAGTCGCCTCTTACGACCTGCATAGGTTGCTGTGGACTCTTTCTACCCGGGACCCCTTCGGGCGTGATATTGATTAAATGACAAATGATATACGATACAATGATAAATGATAAAACATAAAAGAGATATCAATGGCGACGAACCTCATTCGTGTCCACTATTTTAACGGTGACTTTTTCTCCTGAGGTCTCCTGTATCTCCGCAGAAACAAACCCCTCTTGCTCATCTGGGGCCCAACATGCCTTCTTGGCATCAAAGGTCCCTTTTTGTTCCTTTATCAGTTTCTTGCGATCAACCGCAAGATACTGGAAGTCGGGGTCGTTGGGATCAAAGGAGGACATTTTCACAGAGGAAGTGAACTAAAGAAAGTCCGAAAGGTGATGAGCAACTCTGTTCTGTCCCTGCAAATATATACACATTCAATTCAATTCAGAACACTGACGCGCCATTCTGATTAAAAAATAGCGTCAGCCATTTTGTTGCAAAAGGGAAGTAACACCGCCGCCATGTTGGCGTTTTCCTTGGCGGACATTGGCGTTGCCATGGAAACCTTTTATGATGAGGATGCTTAAAATACTATTTGTCATGTCACAAATAGTCTTACAGTAATTGGCAGATTATCAAAGTTCATACAAACATATTTTGCCGATGGCATCCCTTTTAAATTAAGTCGTTATTAGCAATCAGTATCGTTATCTGTGAATTCCACGTACAAAACATGTATACAGCTTTATTCATATCTACAGTAATGCAGTGTCTTGTGTTTGTTTATTCACACACATTTCCATTATGAATCAAAGACATCGCCTCATCATTAACACGGCTACTTCATTATTACTATCACGCGCTCTTCATTATCAAGAATAGAACGACATTCCAAGGGCCGTGGGCTCCCTGCCATACATATAAGGCTAAGGAAACACTACACCTTAACGCCGGGGTCGTGTATCGCTGTCGTGGTACCTAAGTCCATGGAAGTAGGCCAAACGAACGTTATTACTATCATACTGATGATGGCGAAAACCCCTGGCAACTGCCCTAGCTTCACACCGCTGCTGCATGGCGCTCACGGCCGCCAGCAGCAGCACCGGGAACCATGAATGATGGTAACATACCGGATCTCAGAAACGGGACGTTTTGAGGTTTATTAAATTAACTTGAGAATGTTTTATAAATTAATGGCGGTGTTCGAACGCGCCTAATTTCAGAATAAATATAAAATGCTGCTACTCAAGTAAATTAATATAAAACGAATAATTATGAATAACAACCTTGGCAATTGAACCCAAATGAAACCTATACTGTCTGATCCAACAAGTGGAATCTTTCGTCACATACTTTCAACGTAAGCTACATTGAACTTTATCAATAATTTCATCCTAAGATTTCTCGTTAAATCCAGTGAATAAACTCCAACCTCTATAGCATTTTGGAAAAATTGTTTGCAGTACATTTAATACAATGATCAAATTGATAAGGATTTCCAATGAATCTTCTTCCAAGGTACTAGAAACTGTTTTTGGTATCCATAGCAACGGGAAAACACAAATGTCCTAAGGAATATATTACGCATAAAACATACTCATAAGTCTATAGCAACGTGAAAAAATCATTGTCATAAAATCCAAAAAATTAAAGAGGCACAGAATTAATGATGCACCGGAAAGATGAGTACAAACGGATTCGGAGTGACAACAAAGTGTTTAGCTGGAACATCTACGAGGAAGGTATTGGTAAATCTGTTCACACATGTCAAACACCAAAACACGGATATGTATTAATAAGATTTCCCATACGGGCATCAGTTGATCAGTGAAGAAATGAGAGTTCTACTCCAAGGTAGGAAGTCCAGGATAGGCACACTATCACTCGGTTGTTATGTTTTCTGGGATGGTAATATTGAGATATTGAGTAAAGAGTAAAGGTAATGGTAGGACTCTGAGAGACAGTGCAGGGTGTAGTAGGGTCGGTCTTGTGACAGGGAGGGAATATATCCGCCAGTGCACGGCACAAGGGGGTTCTAATACTCACGGCCAGAGCTGGTCTGAACAGCTACTGCCAAGCTCACTTCATATATACAGCGGCTTATCTTTCCCGACCAATTATGTAAGGCGTGCTTTGATTGGCTGAATGGAGCATGTGATCTTGGGTGCCCATGCTGCTTCCTGCATGGTCAAGCGTTTGATTGAGGGTGAAAAGAAAGGTCGTATGGTAGCGATAACCTTGGGTGAGAATTTACAAGATTTAATTGACCAGAACACAACAAGAAGAACCCTTTTAGTATTCTACACTTTAAGAGTAACGTGGGCCAGGGACTGTGGCTTGTTTCTGTTTTGCATTATGATGTTATATGCCAAGGTTTTGCCATGTGGTCTGAATCATGTTATCGAGTAGATACATGTGGAAGTATTCCGTGACAAAAACCATTAATGGTACTGATAATGTGCTGTCATGCGACAGACATGTTGCTATATATTTTATTCTAATATAGTTGAAAGTTGTTACCAATAAATATACCATCATTAAAATGCCACGACACTTTCAAAAGACCTTAGTTAATAACCGCAGAGGTGGGTGAATTACCATATATTATGTTTGTTATAAGTTCTGATTGAACATGTTCTTGCGTTTACATTTACCATGTCCTTTTTTCGTAAAAAGCCTGAAATACTCTTATCTTTTTACATACGCTTTTTCAAAATCAATCTAACATCACAGATTTGTAAACATGAATTGCTCATGAATGATAGGAACTGTTCTTGATAAATATGTACGATATAAGTGGGTGAATTTCCTTGTTGCACAGTTGTGTACATATGGTAACGGATATAAGGAAAATGTATTGAAGGTATTAATAACAATGTCTATTATTCTCCTGTCGACCACACAATCACCTTGTGTTGTACATATCAAATAACAAACCCTACATCATATTTAATATGGACAAATAATTTGTATGTTAAATGTGTTATGTCAGAAGTGTATATTGACAACATTGCCAGTTTGCAGTCATAATGTGTCGAATAAGCAAAGCAGATGAAGGACCCTACATCCAGGGCATTTGAGAACAACACGCTAACCATTGGACTACTGCACACGATGATGTATACACAACACACGCAGTATGTCGTCCCTTAAAATCCAAATGCTGACCCTTACTTTAATGGATCGGGTGGTAATGCTTGGTGACTATGTTACCAGCGAAGATTGGATCGTTGATCATGAGACTGATCTCTGGTTGTTTACGGGATGCCGTCCGCATGGGGGGGCGGTCGGGTAGTCTAGTGGTTAAAGCGTTCGCTCGTCACGCCGAAGACCCGGGTTCGATTCCCGACCTGGGTACAATGTGTGAAGCCCATTTCTGGTGTCCCCCGCCGTGATATTGCTGGAATATTGCTAAAAGCGGCGTAAAACCATACTTGCCCACTTACTTGCCCCCGTACGGATGGAGTATTATCTTTGCATATGTACATATTACCACGCTAATTGCATCCGCGATCACGAATAGTCTGACATTCTGTCTCATTCATTTGTATGGCCGGCAAACTGTCATTTTGTTATCATTTGAATGTAAAAACCTCAAAAATATATTTCCACACCGATATTACTTCTCGTGTGTTTCATACAAGTTATAAATGCATTCGTCATGTGATTGAAATAGGATAAATCACTTAATTCCTCTTTTAAACATGGATACACAATGGATATTGACAATGTTCATTATGACATATAATATGGTCTTACTTTTCTTCCAAATATTTATTTAATCGATAAGACTACGCTAATTGCGTGATAATTTATATCATCATTATTGCAGTGTTTCTGGTACTCTTATTATATAAAGAAAGTATTACATAAAATATTATGTGATCAACTACCATTTATACAAATTACACTATTCCCTGGTGCAGACTGTCTCCAGGACGACATCACATATTCTCTGCTACCCCGGCGAGTGTTACATTCCGGTTTTTGCATCTTTCTTCAAACATGTAATTCCCAATATGCGTTATACATTCTCCTGAATGTTGCTGTAATCATGTCGACATCGTTATATTTATTAGTTACTGATGTTGCATCTTATCTTTCCGAACAGTCACATTTTTGTAACAATAATGAGCGCGACGTCTTGGATTAACTGGTGAATAACATTGCATTTATTAGTTTCTGCCGGATGTACAATAATAAAGTGTATCTGTAATTACGTTGTTGTATGATTATGACTAAGGTTTATGTGACCAGTTGACGGTTTACGATTGGGTAGAACATTCGTAAGGATAAATGCCCCGTTTGATTCCTAATTCGTTACTGGTACTATGACATAATAGTTTGGATATATATTTAAAAGTATCGTGTACCTATAACAAATGTTGTGCAAGTGAATCAGTAGAGCTGACATATGCTGACATGAACGTGAACCGAGCATATGTATTAAATCCTCTTGTTTTTGTTAATTCAAAAAATTGTTTTATGAACAATGTAACTGCATTGATTTTTACATATGATTAAACCATTTTATTGACTATTTTGAATTGCTGTTACAAGTTGATATTTAACCTTTCTCTCTCCGTTAGGCGGACCTTGTGTTCTTCCTTTTTGTCGTACCATGCGTATTTAATGTCAAGTTGTTTACACCATCAAATGAATATGATTCACTTTTATGACTATTAACATGTTCAACACTTGCAATATTCATTCATCTAATATTTTAGTATTTTGAATCCATGTTTGCAAGAACGTTCGTATAGACAGCTGTTTTATATATGCTCCCACAACGAGCGTCACTTTTTACATTGCGTCGGGCGTACAAGAACATTATTTGTTGTTTTTTCTATATTACATTCCGCCAACCATCTGGTACAGTGTTCCCTTCAACCAGCGTGTGCTGTCATCCACAGCACTTCGCTAACACCGTTATAATGGAAGTCTCCCCGATGGAAGCCGACAGCAGAGCGTGCGAACGCTGTCACCTTGAGTCTGTAGATGAGGGCATTAGGATGCAGTTCACTATCTCTGGTGCATGTGTATAGCAGCAGTGGGAGGATAAAGGATCAATCAGCTACGTCCCTGGACAGAGATATATGGGCTAATAACTTCTGTTTTTGTAAATACATATCGCAATAATCCTCTTAATATTTGGTTGCCAAGAGTTCTTTCCACTGCTTTTTTACGCCCAGTGGAATATGTTTCGGCGGATAATCGAGAGAGGTTGTTTTCTGGCGTTGACGCTTTATATATTCTTGTGGTCTAGCGGTATATACGTGTATGATTTATCATGGTATTACGTGTCTTGTATTTTTCCAAACTGCCTCTACTGCCAAAGTAACAAAGAATGGTTTTCCTTTCCAGTAGAATATTAATATATACCTTATACATACGGTAACATATTACCAGACTGATTATGATGTGAATCTCTTCGTGTAAAATAAATAGATAAATAGTTTTTCTTTTGTCGTGAGGGACAACATATCAATTCTGAGACTTCTAGCGGAACCCACAGCGACACAATATGAAGGAGTTAACTTTTGCATCAGCGTTATCTATATGCATATGTACGTGCAAGAGATGTAATTACATCATTGATTAACCTTCTGTAACCAATGCAGTTATAATTACCTGATTCATATTCCAATTTAAGTACATGAAAGTACCTAAGGTATTATTATCTATATTGTTGTTTTTTCCGTAAGATGGAATCCTGGAGGAGAACTATTGCTGAAAAAATACTATGTTTCGGTTAAATAAACAGATGCAAGCAATGGTGGCTAATGTATTCCAGATACCGCGGTGCATGTCTGTCGATCAAAGCCGGTATAGAAAATTGCATACGTTGAAAAACATGGCTAAAAGCATTTGTAACCAGCGGTTATAGGTTGTCGTGTGTGTTTTTTCCCCACAAGTACACAGATGCTGACGTCTTGTAGAATCTTCATTTCACAATATCTGGATCCTAATTCACGTACATGTTTACGTCTAGCAATTACTCGTTTGACCCTGGTGACCTTGTCAGAATGCACATGAACAAGTGTATCTTACACCAGTAGTTATTTGCACAAGCATGGCAGGTATCTTGTAGCGAGTGAGACTGGACGTTCAGGCAGTGTATGTGTACTTTAGTACTAACAGATGTCAATGTTTTCTTGTTGCCACTGTGCAATTAAAATATCTCCTTCTGAGTGGTCGTGACGTTTATCTGAAATAAGATCTCAAGGGCAGGAACCATCACTGATGATGCTTTGTTTGTTTGTTTGTTTGTTTGTTTGTTGTTAAACGCCACACCCAGCAACATTCCAGCTACATGACGGCGATCTGTAAATGATCGAGTCTTGACCAGACGATCCAGTGATTGACACCATAAGCATCGATCCACGCAATTTGGTTACGATGCCAGGCATCCACCAAGTCAGCGAGCCTAGCCACCCGATCCCGTTTGTCGCCTCTTACGACAACATAGTCGCCATTTACGGCAAGTAAGGGTTGCTGAAGACCATTCTACCCCGGATCTTCACGGGTCACTGAAGAAGCAGCGATACAGTGTCAGTCCCTACAAGTAATACATATGTAGTTGAACTTATTACATATTTGAGCACAGCCTCCGTGGTCTAGTGGATAGAATATCTGCCCGGAGAGTGGAAGGTCGTTGATGATTCCTGGACTCATACCAAAAGACATTGAAAGATGGTACTGGTCGTCTCGGAGTCAGTATACAATGTCTGAGTGTTCATGTTAAAACTGCGGCATGGTACCTCAGTGGGCTAGCACGATATAACCAGCATTAGTTAGGACTAGTACACGCAGCTGCACACACACACACACACACACACACACTCACACTCTCACACACACACGCACGCACACACAACGTCGGTACGTTGTCGCTATAAGTGCAATTATCTTAAACGCAACATAAAAACCCATTTCACCTCACCTATTACATATTTGAGAAATATCGATCTCATTATTAATAAGCCTTTTTACATACTTTGCACATAATGAACAATGTTGATATTCTTCATAAAGTTAACAGATACTTGTATATGAGATTGTTGTTATGTAAAGTCAACATCTT